CGCATGCATATTAAATCATTTGTCATGCCCAAACGATTATCACCCAATCAATTTTAAAAGGAACACATGTTTGGTCTCAATAATTATTGATTTAAACAACATTTCAAGTGACTAAATTTACCGCCGTGAAAATCGATATCACTCTTGGGCACTTGCCTTAGCGTAGATTTAACAACTGAATGTGGAATAATTTTTTATACAGAATAATTAATTTTTTATTATAAATAACAGAAATTTAAACAAACTAGTTTCAAGAATATTTTGGACCAGAACAATATATCCGATTCTATTTCTATGAAGAAGGGGTGTGCGATAGACTTACCTCCACGTGGTGCACCCTGGGCAACGTATACTCATAAGGCAAAAAGTCCATTAACTGGCAGTTGACTTCTCACTTCAAACTACCATCACCCCACTGTATGTCATATTCGACTGCTTCACAGTACTCACCTCACCTTTTTTCTACCTTCGTCTTTGAAACACTCTTCTGTTCCCCCCCTCTCGATTTTTTTTCCACTTTGATGTTCCTTCCCCTCTGTGAAGCCTGAAGTCAACTAAAGGGCTAATGATAACTATCAGAACGCCTGCCATTTGATATAAATAAATAAATTTCTATGAAGAAACTATTTATTTTCATTCGCATATAATTCTTTTCAGAATTTCGGAACAGTCTATCAGACGCTTATTCAAAAGTTTAACAGCCGAAGAAGATCATAGATCGATAGAAGACAAAGAAATATAATCCTTATAACCGCAATAGTTTAATTTTATGTAAGAACTTTTAAAAGTGCAGAAGAACTGAACCTTCACTTTTAATCAACAAGAAATCGTTTTACGGCGAGCCTACAAATACTAGGTTTTTTGGACTCAATAATCAAATAAATAAAGCGAATAAATCTAACAGAAAGCCATTCAATTGTCCCCTGCTTAAAAAATTGAAACTTGCTTCTGCCCTAAATTACAGCTTCCAATTGGAAAAAAATGATTGGACCTATAGGAGAGTGAGTGTGTTTAGCCAATCTGAAACATGGGCTTGGGAGAGGGAAAGAACAAAACTTCGAGGACTTACGGGGAAGAGGTAGAGCAAAGGGCGTCAACCAACACTAACCACCCTCATCTGATCACAACTTGTAGATTAATTCCATTATATTCACTAGGCCAATCATTCACCTTCGATTACCATTTCGCAACATTTAGCCCCTTCCCTATTTTTGATAAAACATTTTATCATTATGCGGCTCATTGGTGGCAGGAACAATGAGGTTACTCTCAAAGGTAAGCTAGTGAATTAATTATAATGATTTAATCTCGAGTTATTGATGCAAAAATTTCTTGAAATATTTTTTAATGTCTGCCATTAACCAGATTAACACCCCCCCCCCCGAACAATCAATTGTCGTTTCAAAAATATTTTTAAATAGCTTAGTTACTTAATAGAATTCAAAAACTGATATTATTTAATTGCTATGACATCGAAATTAACATATTTAACTGGGATGTATCGCAACTCAAAATGGGTTTAAAAATTGTTTTATACACTGTATAAACTGCTAAAACTGTGTACGAAAAACATTCACAATAAATTAGTAAAATGTAAAAATTAAATGTCGACTTAGACGTACCAGCATCCAATTAATTTAATTTTGTTGAGGATGAGTTTAAAACAATATCAAATTATAAGTGATTTTATCTTATCAACTAGTTATAAGATCTGTACATTTAGAATCAAAACGATGAAAAGAAAAAAGTAATGAACGGAATTTAACTAAAGATTTAATATGCACATCACCTATTCTCTCGGTTTCAAGTCTCATAAAATTGAGAAAGATACTTTTCATGCATAGTTAATATTAGATAAATCAATAAATAAATGCTTGAAGGAATTTAATTTTACACTTTTTAATTTATTTTAGATTACTCCGGAGAAAATTTGTCATTTTATGGAGGTGCTAAGGTCAATTATAGAAAAAGTGAAAAACAGTCCAACAGATATTGTCTGCCGCCCAGTCCGCAAACAGCCCTCCCATATCCATTGAACTCTCGTTATTCCTTAAACGCGCTTCAGCCTGAAAGTCGGTGGGACAGCAGAAAAAGTGTCCGATTCTCCGAGCATATTGGTTGTAGGCAGATCCCTTGTGCAGCATCGGAGGAAAGCTTCTTGGAGACATTATCTGGCAAGATGAAGGCACCGCGAAACTTCCATACTCCCACAATAGTCTTCGAAGACAATCCAACCAGTCAATTTCAGGGTCTCCTCTGTCTTCCCAAAATCAGTAAAAGACGTCGTCCTGTTAGTCCTATTGAAGCCGCTCTTTGGAATAGTGGGCGTCAACTACGCCAATATGTCCCATCCCCGAGTATCTTCCAAAGAATTGCAGAATTTCCATCTAATTTTCTTCGATGTCATGGCCTATGGAGAAGCCAACCATCTCTCGATTCCCCAGTTTGTAAAAAGAGAACACCGGGGATTTCTTCCCCAGATTCAGCGTTCGATATGATGGAGTCAGTTTATGTCTCAGATTCGGAGGACGAGTGGGAAACTTCGCCGCATGATTTCGAAGGTTATGAGAATCCATCAAATTTCGTTTCGTCAAGGCATCAGTCCATTCAAAACCAAGTGTACGAATTAAATAATCCAGATGAAGATTATGAGTTTGATGAATATGTTATACCGAGAGCTGAATTACACATCTTAAAGAACCATGATTGTGTCCAATTTCAGACTTTAGGTAGCCCCAAGAGTGAAGATGACTCTATTTATGAATTCATCCCTTCCCCCAAGATCTCCCCAAAGAAAACCACATTACAGGATCGAGTAACACAATCACTCAATCGTCTTAGCATTCCTGAATGGATGCAAAAGAAGGTGAAGGGAAACTGTGCATCCACTTCTTCAAAGCGCTTCAATCGACTACCCCGATTCCCTCAATATACTAATCCCCATCTCACTTCCACCCATGAGGATGTGTCAAAAATCTCTCCTGTGTTATTTCGCCGATGAGGAAAGCTTTAGCCATTTCAAAGAGAGAAGTTCCTTCTCTTACTATTTTTTCTTCGATTTGAAGTTTCGACAGCTTTTGCAGTAGAACATATTTTCTACTTGAAGTACTTTTATGAATAAGGAATATAAAATTCATACTTCTCTTAATTTTTTTTAATTTTTTTTCCCATGGATTTGTATTGACATCTTCGAAGAAAAAAGTGCGCACAATAAAGGGGCAGTTCATACATATTTTTCCATATTTACAAAAGTTTTCCTATTTTTAAGAAATAGCTGTGTATTTTTGTACTATTGCTAAGGAAACTACGTGTTTTGAGTGGAGCGGGCTTTTTTGTTTAAGTGAATTGTTCAACATTTAGCTAAAACTCAAAAGAACCAACTTCAAAGTCATTTAATGTGGTTGCTTTTTGCAGTTAAGGAAACAAAGTTGTTGGTGTTGCTGAAATACGTTCTATAATTACTTTCCGACAGGTTTACATACCGATATATGTCGTCCCGTTTCCACCATTACTAGTACTGAAGTTATACTACGGTGCTGGTTATAAGAATCGAGGCTTGTAATTAATATGCATTTGTATCGAACACATGCTCGAATAACCTAGTTGGTGATACCAAAAGATCTTTCGATTGAATGCATGTATCGATTTGATCTCTTGATCGTGGGCGGGTAATACCATTCTCTATCTTTGCTTATCAAATAGTTATCCCTGGACCAAACACTTTCTTTCATTACTCAAACTATCTTCCATTCACTATCCTGACTCCTGACTTCAAACTACCATGACCCCACTGTGGGTCATATTCCACCACTTCCACAGTACCCCAACCCCCCCTACCCTACTCTCTACCTTTGTGTCTGTCTCTTTTACATATGTGAATCACTCTTCTGTTTCCCCTTCCCACTTTTTGTGATTTTGATGTTCCCCTCCGCTGTGATGACCGAAGTCAACTAAAGGACTAATGTCAACTATCAGAAAACCTGCTATTGATATAAATATTCCCATTCAGCCTCAATCCTTTAATACAACTTCAGGAGAATTCGCGCAAGAAAGGAAAATGATTCATTGGCACTATGAAAAAATGAGTTTGTTTTGAAGACAACATAACTTTCAGTACTGGAATTTTCAAGCATTAAAGTTAAAGTCGAGATCATCCAAACGTCTATAGTTAAGCATATCATTTCCAATCATGACATCATGAGCATTTTTCATCCATCGTCGAGTGCCTTTTGTGGTGATAGGCATGCAGTTAGAAAGTTGTGGGAGAGAAAGCTTAAAAAATGTCCAAATTGCCGCATCAAGTTCTTCATTCTGGTTTGGTGTGAGCAGCAATCCTTGGAAATAATCTCCCCACTCTTCTTATGAACAAAACCTATGCAGCCCCTATTCACAACTAACCTGTTTCATTATAGTTTTATGGATCATTAGCTACTTGGCATTATCACTACTATTACTCCAAGTACATATAATTACTTATCTGAATGAATACGCTATTGAAACTTTTCTTCCAATTTCCATATTTGCATTTTTAAATCAGTTTCAATTGTTTTTTTTCGGCATAGTTCAATGGAGCAAAAAGCCATTTGGCAATTTGGCAGCAGAGCAATGTTTCAAATCACATTAACAAAGTCAAAATTAAAAGTTAACAACATATAATATTACTACTAATAATAAGAGAGTTAATGAAGAAGTATATGAAAGGTTGCTGTTCTTAAATATTTATTTATTCCAAATGACAGGCGTTTTGATAGTTATCATTAGTCCTTTAGTTGACTTCAAGCTTCACAGAGGGGAAGGAATTTCAAAGTTAAAAAGTCGAGATGAGGGGGGACAAAAGAGCGTTTCAAAGATGTAAAAGAGACAGACACAAAGGTAGAAAAAAAGTGAGGTGAGTGCTGTAAAAGTGGTGGAATGTGACGTACAGTGGGGTGATAGTAGTTTGAAGTGAGAAGTCAACTGTCGGTTAATAGACTTTCTCATGGTAGTTTGAAGTCAACTGCCAGGTAATAGACTTTAGTTTGAAGTGAGAAGTCAACTGCCGATTGATAGACTTTTATTTGAAGTCAGAAGTCAACTGCCAGTTAATAGACCTTTTCAGTCAGAAGTCAACTGCCGGTTTATAGACTTTTTTGCCGTTTGAGTAGTCAGAAGTCAACTGCCGGTTAATAGACTTTTTTGTGAAGTGAGAAGTCAACTGCCAGTTAATAGACCTTTTTGCGTTGAAGTCAGAAGTCAACTGCCGGTTAATAGAATTTTTTTGCCGATAGTGAGAAGTCAACTGCCGGTTTATAGACTTTTTTGCCGCACAGTGGAAGTGGTCGAATATGCCATACAGTGGGGTCATGATAGTTTGAACTCAGAAGTCAACTGCCAGTTAATAGACTTACTCATGGTAGTTTGAAGTCAACTGCCAGGTAATAGACTTTAGTTTGAAGTGAGAAGTCAACTGCCGATTGATAGACTTTTATTTGAAGTCAGAAGTCAACTGCCAGTTAATAGACCTTTTCAGTCAGAAGTCAACTGCCGGTTTATAGACTTTTTTGCCGTTTGAGTAGTCAGAAGTCAACTGCCGGTTAATAGACTTTTTTGTGAAGTGAGAAGTCAACTGCCAGTTAATAGACCTTTTTGCGTTGAAGTCAGAAGTCAACTGCCGGTTAATAGAATTTTTTTGCCGATAGTTTGAAGTCAACTGCCGGTTTATAGACTTCGAATATGACATAGAGAAGTCAACTGCCAGTTAATAGATCATGGTAATTGAAGTGAGAAGTCAACTGTCGGTTAATAGACTTTTTGCCGTATGAGTATACGTTGCCCAGGGTGCACCACGTGAAGGTAAGTCTATCGCACACCCCCTGTTCTTAAATATACAGACGCAAGTCCTCTCTTATTTTCTTTTTTTCGGCACTTTTAATAACTTTCTTTCAATTGGAAATTTTCGGTAATCATACGCCTGAGGGAAACGAAAATAGCCAAAGCATTGCTATAAATAATAATGAGAAAGTCCATGGGCTTCAAGAGTGGTTTGTTGCTCTCGCTCTTGAGAAACATATCTTGTCACTGCAGTATGTTAAACATTATATGCATTTAATATTTGAAAATCTCATATGACCTTCATGTCGTTTGTCTTCTTCTTGAACAAAGCAAATAGACGCAAGTGGAAAGTAAAGGGTTGGGGGTTAGGTCATTGTTTTAGTAACTTAACGTCCTATTATTCACATTCTTTCATTTCTACGTGCATGGAGATGAAACCAAATAAGCCCGGTGAATAAGTTTTGAATCATTGTCGTCAAATGATATGCGATATCCAAACCAGTTTAAGGCAGCCTAATTGGAATAACTTGATTTCTGATAAATCCAATGGCCTATTTTCGGCAACCGTGCATTGAATAATGCACTCTGTAAATATTTATGCGTTTACCGCCAAGACGTACTTTTAATTCATGATTTATTTTACTATCTTATCACTTCTCCAAGGTATTCCAAAATGCATCTGAATAATAAATCATCTTTGTAAAAAATTTAAAAAGTTAGCTGCTTACAGACAAAGACCAATTGAAAATTCTGTTGCTTTTTCTGTTAAAATTAAGCAGTATTCAGGGCAATTCTAAGTAATGAAGGAAAATTTTCTCTTCCACTGATGGTGCCTTTTTTGAAACGACTTAAAATTACTATTCTACTAAGCAAAATAAAATATAATTTGAAGAATTGAAGAAAACATGATACTGCTTTAAAACATGTTACATTTTATTACATTACTTGCTTCATTTTCCAAGCACTTTTGATTCTCTTCACCTCAGACAAATTAAATCTCAATTTGATATATTTTCATTGAATAATTTAAAGAGTTTCGTTTAAGGCCAATCAGTTTTCTCCTTTAATTCCACCTTGAACTTACTAGAGTTGTAGCGGATTGCTACTTTATTAAAGCCTAACTGATTCAGAAATCTCTATGGCAGATCCTCCTACATCTAGCTAGACTCCCAGAACCAGCTAAGCTATAGCCCTGCTATAAAGGAAACAGACGTGTAGAACGAAGCACGTTTATTCAGTACGAGTATATTACGGATAAAGTGAGCACGCAGGGAGCTACTCATGATCAGGATGGGGGTTTAGGT